CCCGGTCATGACCGGGACACCATCAAAACATGACCGGGACACCATCACAACATGACCGGGACACCATCAAAACATGACCGGGACACCATCAAAACAGGACCGGGACACCATCACAACATGACTGGGACACAATCAAAACATGATCGGGACACCATCACAACATGACCGCGCCACCATCACATGATCGGGACACCATCAAAACATGACCGGGACACCGTCACAACACGACCGGGACACCATCACAACATGACCGGGACACCTTCAAAACATGACCGGGACACCATCACAACATGACTGGGTCACAATCAAAACATGATCGGGACACCATCAAAACATGACCGGGACACCAGCATCACATGACCCGGACGCCATCAAAACATGACCGGGACACCATCCGCCCACCAGCTCTGACGGTGACCCGACGGCGCCCGTCCGCCTATTAGTTTTGCAAGACCCCATAGCATGGCTATTGGGGAATTAGAATCAAATTAAAACATGAAATTACTAGCAAAGGAAAATTACTAGGACCTTTTCGCGCGCGCGCGCGCGCGGGGGGACGGTAGGAGCAAGGACGCTACTAGGAGCAAAGGGCATCGCTATATAGATAGAAAAGTAGATCCCCACTGTGCCACGATCTAATTCTTTGGGGCACCACTTTTTTTCGGCTGTTGGCCGGTTCGTGTTAACAGGTCCATCTGGTCCCTCAGCTGGGCACCGCTCTTTGAGCAGCCCATCTTAAGAGCGAAGACACCAAGTCACACCACCTCAACACCTCGTTTGTAAAACCTCCAACATGAAAACGTGTGAGATGTGTGAGAGAGTGGGGGATTTACCACCTTGTAGCAATAGATGAAAGGATTTTAATTGGGTCCATTTCATGATTCTATCCAAGCTGGTCTCTTACAATGGAATTGCTTTGCAATTGCTTTGTTGCATATCATGGACATCTGAAGCTGGGACAGTCCAGCCTCATCATTGAAGGCATCCAACGCTGCCTGTCGCACCGCCGGCGAATTCTCCTGAAAAGAAGGTTCTGAAGTAGCTTCTTGTTACGTTCGTAGCGTCCTTGTTACTACTAGTAAGGCACTTGTTACTAGAAGCGATGCACTTGTTCCTAGTAGCGAACCTTGTTACGTTGGTAACGTCTCGAAATCGTCCCTTTGCTCGGAGAATTTCAGGTTCAACGGATATTTCATGACCGATGGCAGACCGACTCGGGACTTCGTGGTCTTCTAGCTGGATATGTTCACCAGCCCCGCCCCCCAAACCAGCAGCTCGCAACCCGACACGTCCTCGTCCAGAGTCACAAAGGCCAAAGCTGCCAAGCCATGCTGTGACCAAAAGGCACAGGAACGAGCACGGTCGAAGTCGCGTGAACAGGTGCCTTTCCAACTGAGACCGCGGTTCGCCTCAAACGAGCTCCGAGCAATTCCGAGTCGGGGAAATCGCGACAACAGACCAAACACCTCCGCTGTGGAGAGAGAAAGAGAGAGAGACCATCGCTGTTAGGTTGGAGTCCATCCTTCTTAGGAGGGGAGCGGGCTAAAGAAAACTAAAAGAGTTTTCTTCCTCTCCGGTTCTTCAGCCCAGTCGTGTGGCTTTGTAAAGGGTCGTGAAATGTGAGATCGAGTGCGTGCGAATGGTTAAGGGCGGGCAACAAACAAAATCGAGTATCTTGGACCCACCAGTGAGCCAAAACCTCCCCAGGAATCCTTCCTCTCATGTTGCCTGATCCTTGTCATGTAGCAAAAGACTGTAAAATATGATAAAACAAGTGATCATGTTTGCTGGATCCTCGGAGCTGCAGTTCAAGCCGCGCCAACCGTTCGGATTGAGCCAGGGGAAGGGGATGGTTGCTTGGCTGACTTTTGAAGATATCTCATTGTCAAACACATTCAAACATAATCAAACCATGCCCACAATTCCTTCAAGCCAGCGGCATGCACCCCCCACCAACCATACCAACCACGCCTAACCCTGACTGCCTCGCCAAGCCTAGAAAACATCCATACCTTAAACTAAGCCTGATCATAACCCAAACATCCCCCAACATAACCCAACACGTGCACTGAGAATTCTTCCTTTTCCAGCTCAGGCACCTGCAAACACAGCACGTAGGGACGCACCAAATAGATCACTCCGGCTTGAAGCCAGGCCGAGCCGGCACCGAAGACCAACGCCAGGGAATCCTTCCCCACCGTGAGCAGAACGGCCGTGCTGATGCTGGCCTCGCCGAGACCGGATCGTGCCAACATCGAAACCCACGCGGAACCTGAAAACCACGGGTTGTAGAGGAAAATCGTCTTCCAAAGGTCCATGCCGTCAGGTTCCATATGGGTCTCTTCCCGGGTGTAATTCTCCTGATCTTGGAACATGCTTTGTTTTCAAGAAAAAAATTGGCTTTCCACCCATCTAAGTCTGTGATGTCCGTGTGTGAACATGAATTGCAGCCAGCATTGACTCCGTCTCTTTTCTAATCAGAGATGACAGAATGACGTTGACCCCGCTTAATCCTTGAATTCCAGGAAGACCCAAAAGAAATGGTGGACTTCGTTGATTGGAAGAGGCAAAAAGATTCAAAAGCTCACAATGGTCTCTATTCACCACACCTCGCGCCTCGCGCCTCACGCCTCGCGCATTGCACTGCGGTCGTCGCGCGCGGACGGGCGCCTGGGGGATTTGTTCGTAGAAACTCTTCACCTGCTTCGCATGGGACGTGGCATCGCCCATGTAGAGCAGGAACCGGTGTTGATATGGCATCTCCTGTGACCGAACAAGTGGGCGAAGGTGTCAGGCTTACCTCCGTTCTTCACCTTTTGAACTTCTACTTCTTTGCAAGTGGTGTTCAAGGCGTCAAACCAAGAACAGCCCAAAGAGCTGCCACACATCACAGAAGTTCGTGTTGAAATGGAACGGATGGAGCTGAGCCGAAAGGACATATCAAGGACAGCCAACTGAAGGAAAAAGAGGCAACAATTTACAGGTCTGAAGGAAAGAGTAAAATATGGAAGGGCTGCAAAACATTCGACTTAAACCATAAAACATAATTTGCAGGCCTTATGGTCAAACAATAACTAATCAACACTACTAAAAAACAACCAACACATGAATTGAATCTTCCGCTGCACGTTCGATTCGGCTCCTTGTCGCTGGGTTCTGTCTGCCCTTCCTGCAGACAGCGGATATTGCCATTGCCAAACGGCTGACCCCGGAACAACACTTCGGACAGCTGGCAACCCACAAAACATCTCTTCCAAGGTCTGTCAAATCATTTGCTGGGAACAATTCCTTTTCCAACCCATCATCTCTTTCAGCGGACTCTTCTTTAGCCATGAAGGAAAAAAACACCTGCAGCACCCTGCATCGTGCATCCTGCATCCCACTTCAACCCACGCGCCCCCAGGTTGCAGCCTCCAACATCGGACTCCATTCTGCGTCAGAGGCGTCGGCAGCCTGCAGAATCCTCCCTTGATCCTGCGGCGAGGGAGGACAAACCCAGGCTAGGCGGGTGAATCGGCACTCTGATCGAAGGATGAGGGGCGAGGGATGAACTCAATCCACAAACCCATCCCGATCTGCGCCACGACTCACCCTTTCCACAACCGTATTATCTCCTTCAACCAGGGCCTGGGAGCAGCGGTCTTGGCCCAGAAGCTGTCTCGAAGCTCGACGAAATCCGCACGATCCTCCAACCTGGGCGCTGCTGGGGCGCTGCTGCTCGTTGACACCCAACAATGGGTGCTTTTCATGAAATCCATCAACCATCCACAGCTCCGTTTCATGCTCTTTCATGAAACAATTGCAAAGTCCTGGCATCAAACTTCAAGTTCTACGAGACTTCAAAGTCGTTTGTGCCAAGCGAGGTCTTCCAAAGCCAGTGATTCTCCCACTTGAGTCGACTCATCTACCTGTGCCCTGTGGCTCCGGACACGACCAGAAAGGAGAGCAGGTTCATGAGAGGCACCACGGCTGCCGCCAACAGTGGCCAAATCGAGGATTGTTCGTTGCCAACCTGTGCCGAGAAACACCGTTCAGGGAGTTGATCGAACTGCCCCGAAAGGATCCCAAATTGATTGAGCTGCATGGTCTAAGCTCGTGGTTGGGACCATCTCTCTGCTCTCTTCTTCTCTATGTGGGGCTTTTTAATCCAAGCCTCGCTAGCCTCGCCAGCATGAGTCTGGTGTTCCGGAAGAGTGGGAAGCTTCAGCTGGAGTGATGCTCTGTTGGGACGGCTTTGGAGCTGCGATGTATCCAATCCTATGATGGTAAAACTATTAACATCACCCCAGCTAAAAAGAACACCAATCATCAACTCCAATGTCCGGTCGTTTCAACCAGCAAAAAGGAAGACAAAAACCCTTATGTCTTATCTAGATGCCATAAATCTACTCCATTTCCCACCTCTTCCACCTCTCCCAGCAATTCTCCGTCTTTCGGGGTCTCCGCTTCGCCTGAATGAAGACCGCCACGATGGTCGCATCCCTCAAAAGGTCGAAACGGGCCGAGAAGGGCGCCACCATCATCAAAGCCTCTGCGTGTTCGTGGGCTTCGCTCGGGGGGGTCGAAGGTCCATCGGAAGGTAAGCATATCTGAACAAAAAGATAAAAGGAGAGCAAGAAACACGGATTGACTCTCACTGATCGAAGTCAAAGAAGGCTTCAACCCTTGTTCTCGCAAAAAACACATCATATTTCAGAGCTGAACATTTCCTGGGGCGGTGTTTGTGTGTTCGCAGCCTGTAACTTCGAAGTTGCAGGGAACTCGGCTGCAACTAAGAGCGGTCCTAGCTGGTGCCCCCCGGTTCCCGCCCGGCCTTCAGCAGTCCTACCTTTTTGAAAACCGCTGACACGGTGGTGGACACCAAGACTTCCACCATCACACAGACCTCGGAAGACGAGGCGAGATTCTCAACAGCTCGGTCTCAAGCGGATCTCGGCTTTGAAGCGGCCCCTCGACGCAACGGTGGATCTGATGAACCAGAACACATCGGCACCAGACTTGTGGATCATAATCTGAGCATATCTCAACGTGCAGCAAGGTCTTCGGGTTTTCCTTCGCTTGCCTAGCTTCATCTAGCTTCTATGCGTGAGGGGCACTCTCACAATTCACCAAAATGGGTTTGACAAAGGAAGCTGTAGTAACAAGTGCATCGCTTCAAGTAACAAGTGCCTTACTAGTAGTAACAAGAAGCTATTAATTTTAACTTAATTCTAATAGCTTTTTGTTACTACTAGTAAGGCACTTGTTACTACTAGTAAGGCACTTGTTACTACTAGCGAGGCACTTGTTACTAGTAGCACCATCGAGCACCCATTGACCAGGTATGCGCGTTTCCTTTTACTCGATCCTTCCATGACCAGCACGTACAACAGCAAGCACAGGACGTCCAAAGGGGACATACCATCAAACACAAACAACCCAGCAAACAAAAAATTCAACAAGTGTTTGGAACCATATCACTTTATCTGTTGAATTAGTGCTATCTTGTGGTGTTCTTGGATTTGTTTTCTGAAACCACATCACTAAAGCTTCTAGTTCTTCAAGGAGACTTCCCAAGGACTCAGGCGGTGGGGAGCTTCCCTACAGCACTAGCTTCTAGCCAAGAAGCCCACCCTTCCCCTCTGCCCAAAAAGCAAACGAACGACAAACAACATATAGCGAAGAACCTCAAAGGCAAAAGGAAAACCTACAAAAAAACTAGCTGCCAAAGCCACATAGATTTCGTAGTCCAGGCCAGTCCGCAAGGAGACGCGCCCTGTAAGGCCTGGCGGCTTGCAATAAAAAGATCTAACAACAACTCCAAGAAAGATACTTGGAAACACACATGGCTTTCTTCTATTGTATGTTTCTCGTGATATGTAGACCTCAAGAGCTTTCTGTCTTGCTGTTCTGCTTCCTTACTGGTCAACAAGAGTTGAAGTCAATGGATGCCGTGGCCCTCTCACTGCCCGAGGGAAAACTCCCCTTCGCTGGAATCCAGGGGTTTTCCACTTCCTTGTCGGAGAGACGGTAAAGTCAGTGAATCCGATCCTGCTAGCTCCAGAGAAAGCGCTTTGAAGTCCAAGTCTGCTCAGTGCTCTTATGGTTTTTGAGTATGTAGTAACAAGAACAGGACCTAAAGCCAGCGGAGTATGAGGATCTGGAGTACCATCATGACACCAGCTGCATCTTGGCCCGAATTTGGAGTCAAAACCATGACCCCAACATCAGTGACACGTCACATCCAGGTGAGCCCTTTTTCCCCAAACAGTTTACTGTTAGGGGTTCTCAATGCTTTAAAGAATGGTCGCCTTGGTGCTGGATGGTCTGGTCGGGTTCCCGGCCGGCTTGTCTCCCACTTCCTTTCATTTGTCTCCCAGTTCTTTTCATTTGTCTCCCAAGCTGGGTGCTTGTGGTCGGGTTCCCGGCTGGCTTGTCTCCCACTTCCTTTCATTTGTCTCCCACTTCTTTTCATTTGTTTCCCAGTTCTTTTCATTTGTCTGGGTGCTTGTGGTCGGGTTCCCGGCTGGCTTGTCTCCCACTTCCTTTCATTTGTCTCCCACTTCTTTTCATTTGTCCGGGCTGGGTGGCTTGTCTCCCACGTCCTTTTTTTATTTGTCTCCCACTTCTTTCTATTTGTCATTTGTCTCCCAGTTCTTTTCATTTGTCTCCCAGGCTGGGTGCTTGTGGTCGGGTTCCCGGCTGGCTTGTCTCCCACTTCCTTCATTTGTCTCCCAGGCTGGGCGCTTGTGGTCGGGTTCGCGGCTGGCTTGTCTCCATTTGTCTCCCACGCTTGTGGTCGGGTTCCCGGCTGGCTTGTCTCCCACTTCCTTTCATTTGTCTCCCACTTCTTTTCATTGTCTCCCAGGCTGAGTGCTTCTGGTCGGGTTCGCGCCCTTTTCCGCTGGCCATCTGGTGTCCGCCCTTTTCCGCTGATGTCCGCCCTTTTCCGCTGGCCATGTAGCATTTCTATTCGTTTGTCTCCCAGGTCTCTCACTGCTGGTGTTCGCCCTTTTCCGCTGGCCATGTAGCATTTCTATTCATTTGTCTGGTGGTGTCCGCCCTTTTCCGTCGGCCATGCAGCATTTCTATTCATTAGTCTCCCAGGTCTGTCGCTGTTGGTGTCCGCCGTTTTCAGCTGGCGATGCAACATTTCTATTCATTTGTTTTTCAGGTTTGTCACTGCTGGTGTCCGCCCTTTTCCGCTGGCCATGCAGCATTTCTATTCATGTGTTTCGCGGATCTGTCACTGCTGGTGTCCGCCCTTTTCTGCTGGCCATGTAGCATTTTTATTCATTTGTCTACCACATCTCTTTTGGCCATGTAGCATTTCTATTCATTTGTCTCCCATGTGATTTCTTTCTTTTTGTCTTTCAGGTTTGGTGCCTGCACTGGTGTTTTCTGCCCTGTCCGCTGGAACAGGTTCACCTGTGAAAGGTTCTTGCTCCTTTGAAATGGGTGCGTGACTGTCTCCGGGGTTGCATTCCTGCCGCAGTGTGTAACTCTCTCAGCTTTGTTTTCCTTTTCGGGCAAGCGTTGGATGAATGAGCGGATTGGACTTCGGCGGCGTGGCAGCGATCTCTCTGTTCAGTTGGGACGGAGGGCATACGTCAGGCCCAAACATCAATTTCATGTCACATCCTTCGCTCCTCATGCTTTTGTTTCTTGTCCTCACGTGGTCAGCTCCCCGCTGATTGAGCAGCATGACCAGCATCATGTTCGCACTTGAAGAATAATTCCCCAAAAGGTTTAGGGCTTCTGAATTCTTTTCTTAAGATATGTCCGCCTGCTCTGTACGGCTGTGTCCGTCTCTGCCTTGCAACCCTTTACATTTGTCTCCCAGCTCTGGGCTGCTGTGGCCGCCTCTGCCTTGCGCAATCCTTTGTCCAAGCTCTAGTTTCGATGTTGAAAAACACAAACTGTTTGGGGTCTACGGTGGTGTAATTTGAAACTTCTCAAAACCTTTCACCCTTCGAACCTCTTTCTTCCCTTGAACCCCCATGGAAACCACACCCAACGTGGCCGGGCCTGAGTACAAGGCTGCTGAGAAGACGGCCACGACCAGCAGGCTGTGATAGACCACGAAGCGCATCTTAGCGACGCCAAAACGCGGAGCATCCCGGAGCAGCTCCAGTGAGCTTGGGGTTTGTGAAGGACATCCTTCCAACCAACGGAGGGTCCATGAATGATCACTTTATGGAAATAATATGAAATAATCACCTTAAGGTCTTGGACCAAGCTGTTAGGCCTTGCTTTGGGCAGCTGAGGAACATCAGTGGCACCATAGAGTCCAAAGCGTCCTTCCTCTTCTCCGGAATCCTCCTGCCCGCAGTGGGTGAACTCAAAACGCACGATCTGCCACGAAAGGAAGGGATGGCCAAGCCCAGTCCCTTGAACGCGCTCTGAACACGCTGATGTCGTGAACGTCGGATCCCTCGTGTCGCATCCTCCCGGTCGTGTCGAGGACCGCTCCATGGTCCTTCGGAGGGCCGCAGCAATGGGTTCGTGCGAGGACGAAGGCTAAGGTGACCGCCAGGAGCACGGAGCAAACACCTGCAAGACGGGTGGGCGGCTGCAGGGGCATGCACGGCACGGCTTTGGTGGCCGGTGACGTTCGGACGGGCCTCTAAGTAACTTGGTACAAATGAAGGATTGTGGAAATGGGTTCTTTAAGATCAAAATGGACTGATCAGTTTCCTGTTTTGCTCAAGTGTTTGCTTCATCGGACAGGTTTAACATGACATAAGCTCATATACTCCTGTGACTATGCAAACTGCCTGGTCGGTTCTGGTGAAGGAAAAACTGTCTCATGTCTCATAGCACCATCTGCTTTTTCAGAAATTGGAAGTAGTGAGGTAGTCACGAGTCATTGCACAAACCTCATTCCTCATACTTGTGCCTGCGTGTGATTCTCATGTTGAAGAGGTCTGACATCGTTCTGCCGAAGAACAGCTGCCATCAAACTGATCAAGCCATAAACAAAGAATTGAACCACATCCATCATACATTTTTGAAGCATCAATTTGTTTTCTTTTTGGTTTCTGTTCGTCTGTGCCGCTACTCGCCATGATGTCGCCGAGTCACATGCAACTTGAATGAATCGTTGCCATCGCTCCTCCTCGCGGGGGACAGGGAAGGATGGCAACCAAAAACGCAACGCAAAACCATTCACCATACTATTTCTAAGAAGCTACTAGGAACAAGTGCATCGCTACTAGTAACAAGTGCCTTACTAGTAGTAACAAGAAGCTAGTAGTTAATTTAATTTACTTTGTTTCTATCCTCTCTATTTCGCTCGGATCGGAGCCCAAGGGGTTTCTCCGGGTCCTGCGTGGCCTCATCGAGCGCCGTGAAGCTGGGGAAGCTGCCCAAGGGAATTCCGGCCATGGCCGATGAAACGGACCAGTGAATCCACCCAGAAACACCGGACACCACCAGTTCACCAGTGAATCCACATGATCACCACGGTTCCTCACCACGGGTGGCCCTTCTCTTGGGCACATGGAGAGACACTCGATGTTTGGCAACGCTGAAATGGATGGGAAGACTCCCTGAAATGCCTTGGGCACTTCCTTTTCATCTTGCGATGCAAAGAGGCTAGAGGTGGCTGCAGTTGGGCGACAAGAGCTCAGAATCATGACCAGGCGTCCAGATGTGTCCAAAGCTTCTCTTCTTTCAAAGGTCTAAGATCCGATTTTGGGGTTTTTGATTGAGATGTCAGGAAGAGAGAGTCCACACCATGAAGCTGCCAACTAACGCTGAAAGCAAGCACTGCGATCACCGGGGAGCCCGACTCCATCTGATGTCTATCTGTCTCTGGCAGCCTGGCATGGGCACAAACACCCTCTGATCAACTGGGCGAAACCGGAAACCATCAACTGCCAAACGTCCATGGTGCACGGTCACCTCAAGGCTGAAGTTCTCTCTGTCCATGGACATTTGGACACTTGGACTTGTCCAAAAGACTTGAACTTCACCTCACCTCAAACACTGGCATCTTCTCGAGCAAAAGTGTCCATCCTTGGTGCTCAGCCCAATACGCTTGCTCAGCCTGACTCAGTCTCATTCTAGAATGCACATTTGACCAAACCCCAGCCACTTTTGCTTATGCTCCCGTCTGAGATCGCCACATGAGCGCCGGCCGCCTGCAGGCAGAACAAGAAACTGGGAGCTACAAAGGACTGGCTGTTGAGGATGCCAAGCTGAGACTCTGATTCAAAAAAAAAAAGAACTGAAGAGATCAGCTGTGCTTGGTCACTTTTGCCTTTTGGCTCAGAATAGAACATATCCCAAGATCTGTTGGATTTCTTTAGGTTGATCCTACATCGTCAATTATCCATGGGGAATGTTCCCATGCCACACGATCTGAGTAAGCAAAGCTGGACCAAGCCCGGCCTTTGAACCTGTGGTCGCAGATTTCTCACGTCACAGAGCCATGGAACGAAGCAAGGCGCAAAGCTTCAGTGTGGCCTGAAGGTCGCAGTGTCACAAGAGTGCTCTTTACTTGAGATATCTCCAGATATCCAACAAAACGGTTTTTGAAACTGCTTACTCAATAGCATCGGCCTCCTCTTTGCCAATCTCTCCATCACCTTTGGGTCAAATCTTGGCCATGTCATCCGTCTCCTTCACTTCGGAAGTCTTCGAGTTGAGATAACCAATGGCCCACTATCGGTCGAGGCTTGACCTTATCTGGATGGCAACCTTCAATATCTTCAATTTCCAAAGCACCCAGAAAAAGAATGGCAAGAAGCCAATCATGCGTCAGTCTCGTAGTTTCTGTGGGCAACCTGCATGTGACAAAGGAAATGTCACCGAATCCCTATACAAATGTGAGCGTGTTGCAGGACCTTGGCCCAAAAGTACACGGGTGGTGGTCTGATGCACGAAAAGAGCTTCTCCCAGCCAGCCAGCTCCTGCTCATCTTCGGGCGCGCCATCGCCTGGACGCATATATTCTTCACCGAGCATGGTTGATGATACCATTGCGGACATGAAGCAGCAGTCACTGGATCATACGTGGCCCTAAATGGCATTATAAACAGGGTTGGTTACGTTGGCCAATTATGTCTCGCACATCAACAACCCAGGTCCACGATCCGGTCAAAGCTGAGATCCTTCGCGCATCGCCTGCCATCCCCTGTTGGAGTCGCCGATGCATCTCCTGGACCGTGGTCAGCAACGATCGATTCCATTCGTTTCCTGCATCTCCGTTGACCGCTCCCTTTCTGGACCATGACTGGTCTGCCAAATGTCTGCTTTTGGGTTTCTAGGGGCAGATGCTTAGGGTTCTCTTGGCGACCCTTAAACCTACTTTCGGATTGAATTGGCCCACCAAGCATACAGCAGCCGCCTCCAGCTGCCGTCGTGTCTCATGGGCAGCCACGCTGGGTGTCGCCACAAACGCGGGAGTCGCTTCAACACCTGTGGCTTGAGGGGATGGAGATGCAGAACCGGGGAGCTGCATAGGATTGTTGAGGAAAACTGGGGAGCATGAACGCAAAACCAATATACACTGTGTACATTCCTTGTTTTCTTCTTCTAGCTCAGATATAATGGCAAATGAAACTCAGTCGAAGTGTGTTTCAAACGGAACACTGGCCTTTCTGTCATGCTGCCTTCTCAAAGCCTTCCCCCTTTAAAGCGGACGAACTGGGGGTACCTTCTTGTACTGTGCATATCTTCAACCAAACACGAAAGAGGTCAAGAATGCCTGGAATTGGCAACCTTCTAAACTATTTCGCTGTCGTTGAAGCTAGGGCAGTGGGTGGATGCCAACCATGACATCCGCCTGGCATATCACGTGCAGTCATTCGCACGTTGGCCAACTGTTCTCCTGGACGTGATGCGGCACAAGGCCCAAAGCAAAATTCAACGGAAAACTCGATGTTACGTTCGTAGCGTCCTTGTTACTACTAGTAAGGCACTTGTTACTAGCAGCGATGCACTTGTTCCTAGTAGCTTCTTGTTTCTAATAGCTTCTTGTTACTACTAGTAAGGCACTTGTTGCTAGAAGCGATGCACTTGTTCCTAGTAGCTTCTTAAACTAATATGAATGCAGTTCCTTCCTTGGCATCTGTGTCCTCTCCCCCAGGCGCGCAGCCACCGAAATTCGAGAGAAGCAAGAGTGCCAAAACAACTGGGTTCCGTGCAAAGTGGTAACTCCAGATCACCACGCGAAGCTAGGCGGCTAGATAGAACAACAAGAAAAAACACTTGATATGTTCAAAATTCATCATGCAAGGAAAAAGCTTGCTGGCAAAACAACCCGTGCTAGAATTCAGTCAAGCACCTATCACTTTATATAAAAACCGGGTCAACTGCCCTGGAGAACACTCCAAACCATGCTGTCGCACCTTCGGCCAGCTGAACCGTGAGCAGCAAGGGGACTCCACGCCTCAGATTTGGAGAGGGATGCCCAGGGGTGAATTGAGGAAGTCTGACTGGGGAGGAACGTGTACAAGGTAGGCCTTGGCCATCTGGTGCAGAAAAAGAAGTACTCTTAGTAGTGGTAGTGGCACCATTATGGACATCCAACATACCACTCTCTCGTGGTTCACTTGGGGCGTGTTTAGGTGTTGTGTTTGAGCCAATGCTGATCTGATGCGGAGATTGTTCCAAAATGAGTGAGGCTGAATGGTCTTTCCGCCGTTACTGGCCTCACTGGATGGTGGAAGCTCACACTACTGACTGCTCCAGCAACGAGATGGCAGTCTTCCAGCAATCCAAAGCCATGGTTACACTCCATAGGACTCATCTGTTTCTCAGATGGCAATCTTGATTCGGGCAGGTGCATTTTTCTGCGCTTTTTAATGGTCCTCACAAGTCCCTCTCCCAAGAGTCCCATCTGTTTCCCTCCGAACTGGAACACGGGCCACGTCGTGAACGAGAACGAGGGACCAGGAGCCCCTAGTAGCTTCTTGTTACTACTAGTAAGGCACCTGTTACTACTAGCGTGGCACCTGTTACTAGTAGCGAACCTTGTAAGGCCAGGAGAACGAGGGACCCGATCCAATGTCGGATCTTCTTCCCGGGCGTCTCGTCCTCCAGGTCGCTCTTGGCCTCGGTCCGGGACTGTGACGCGCGGTCGTGGGACTCGGCTCTTTTCTTACGAAAGTGACCACGGATCACATCGGTGGCGTGACCACGACTCACCCAGATACGTACAAACTAATACACCGATTTTCAGCGACCAAGAGGCCCGTGTGTCGCTGGCGAGTTGCTGTGTGACTTCCTGGCACTGGAAACAATGAGGAGAGGCTTCTTATTGACAAGGTCACTAGCTTCTTTCTCTCCTGATGCTGGGCCATCTTCGGGTGATTGAAACAATCGCAGGAGTCTTTCATTACTCAGTGCAGTTGAATCCACTTGCGCACGTGCCATCCACCCTCAGCACACCCTTCTACTGCTTGTTGCAAAATTGCAGGATGACATTTGCGCAAATGTAAGTGATACAACGAAACTAAACTAGTCTCATTGGAGAATGAACACACTGAGAAATTGTCCAATTTCCAATTAAGTATGATATCATCACCAGGCCTCACAGGTGGTAATGGTCGGATGAACCCCACCTGACACCATTCCAAGATCTGTTGCACCGATCGACGCCCAGCGTCATCCTCAGCTCGCAGGTGGACCATGGTGGACCCTGAAAATCGAGAACCCACTGAGAAAGGACCAGGCTGGACGAAGCCCAGATGGCGATTGTTTTGGAGTGCCCCACTTCTTGAAGATCACCCGTTCCGTGCCGAATGACCATGTGCAACGAAGCTGAAACCACATCAGCACCAAAAAGACGGCCCGTGCACAACAAACCACATGCACGTACATCGTAGTATTTGCAATAGTATATACGTATTAATTCTAGCTCTACCCTTCGGTCTATTTGGCGAAGTGACCGTCATCACCTCTTCCCTGTTCCCTTTCGTTCGGTGCTCGCGCCCGAGCGGCCTTGCTCCGGTCCTGCGAGCGGATCAGCGGAATGATCACCACCTCCGTGCGAGAGCGCCGTGGAAGTGCCGAAAGCTGCGAGAACTAGTTAAAGCGACCCCAGCCCCCAAAAAGGACCATTTCTTTTGTCTGATCTTCAATGGTTTAGATCTGACAAAGTGAATTCTGAATGATGGAAACGCAAATCATGTCATGGTGATGAGGAGGTGGTGGTTTGTACTGCAGACTTTGTACATCTTTATACTCTAGCTCTTAAGTGCCTTCAATAGCGAAATCTAATCCACATATGAAGCCTTATAATTATGTCTTTGTTAGATATATATGTGAATGTATCATGTATCTATCTCTAGATCCACTCCCGTCTCCGTTCGTCTTCCATCCCATCCCGCTCCATCGCCACCGTTGGCACCTGTAGCGGTGCCACTTTGGGCGGCCACACGCAGCCCAGATGGTCTCCGTGAGCGCAGATCGCGGCAGCCACCAGGCGCGACGTCGCAGAGAAAGAACTCAAACAGCAGGCCTCACTGAGGATTCTTCGGGGCAAGGTGCGAGCAGCTGGATTCTTTGGGCCGCGTTCCGTTCTTCAGTGCAATTTAGACAGCTTTATATAATACTATCACGGACTGAAACTGCTCGAACTCAGAATTCTGGCAACAGGACATAACAGGACCGTTTCATTGCATTCTTCTAAGCACTTGAGAGATCCACCCAACTCCCATCCCGGCCGACCACCCTCCTTCGCCAAGCTGCCCGATTCACCGCACCTCCCGAAGCGTTGGCCGTGCAAAAGGTCCTCGGGACGTTGGTGTCGGAAGTGACCCAGCGAGACGGAGAAAGAAATTTGTTTCTTTTCACTTAAAATGCTTTGGAGGTTTCATTTACATGTTAAAAACAATGGTATCATCTCATTCTTTTTCGGAACCTCCAATTATGGACTTCCATCCCACTCCCCTTGTTGATTCATGGAAAGCGCTACGGCTGCGGCCCTTGAGGTGTGGGCGTTCAAGATAGCACCTGTTGATTGTGAGGTGTCTTTCACAGCTGGAGAAGGTGTTAGCAGCACTTTCTTCACTGTTTCTGCAAGTCAGACTCACCTCCACCGTCTTTTAGACCCTTCCGAACGGTCGTCTTTGGGTGGCTGAACAAGCTCTTCTCGGCGTCAGGTTCCCACCGCCAGCCCCAGCTTCAGCATGCTTCCGCCCTTCCTTTCTTGCTTTTTCTTCGGACCTTTCTCCCTGTCTAGTAGCGTCCTCAGGAGCCCCTAGTAGCATCCTTGCTCCTAGTAGCGATGCCAGGAGCCCCTAGTAGCTTCTTGTTCCTGTCTCCAGCCCAGCGGCATTTTGAAGTCCTCCGCCATTTGGCTTCCCACGATCTTCACGGCAGCCACCTCCATGCCTCCATGGCGAGGGATGGACCTCGGCTCTTGGTACAGGGCAACAGAATTGATTGAACACATCGGCGAGTTAAAACATGCCAAAGAAAACCACAACGCATCATCGAGATCCGGAAGTTAAGCAGAAGATTTGGCCTCCTTTCCCTTTTGGTTGACTGCATACAACATCCTCCAGCCATGAAGCAACACATCCTTCAATGTGGTACAATATCAACACGGAACCAAAACACACTCTCTCTGCAATTTTTCTTGTGCAGCACGGACCATCGATTCTTTACAACCGTCCCATTGCTTGGAATTCCGCGAGTCTCAACTCGGACCTCCGCGAGTCTCCGCCCCTGCCACCCAAGCAGCACTTCGAGTGTCTTCCGTCCGGTGTCGCTGCGAATGGAAGTTCTGAGACACAAAAGATCTCGACAAAGACCTCAAATGAGGCGTCAGTGATGGTTCTATATCGTCGATCGCTAGTAAGGTATCCACAGACGGATGACAACAACGCCGCTGGCCTTGACCATCCTGTGTAAGCTTGTGTAAGCAACAGCACACATGCATAATTATACATAATTACACCCTTCTCGCACTGAAATTGTCTGAATATAGATAATATCGCGATAGCGGTGGAATACTCCTGGTGCCTTGATAGACGTCCATGACTTTCTGCAAGAAGATCTCACTCTCCTGCTCCGTGCTGTGTACCGCATGGCCCTGGCGATTCTCGACACATCGCCACCGGCCGTCGCCCCGACAGTGACCGACCTCGTCTTCGAAGGATGTATCAAACCCGACAAATCCGTGAAACTCATAGGTCCCAGAAACACAAAACGCATCACTATACTGACTATACTATACTATACATGTTATACTGATTAGCTACCCCGTTTTCACCTGAAAGGTAATTCAATTTGGGTCCATTTCACCAGGGCCTCTTGCACGTGCATCTCCCGTGAGCGCACGAAGGGCAAGGGCCGCTTCACCGTCTCGTCGGTGACCGCCACCACGTCGCGGCTCAGGATCAACGGCAGGTCCCGCTGAGAGGCGACCCAGGAGCGAGCAATCACCTGGGAACAAAGACTGGAGGAACAAAGAAGCTTCTAGGAACAAGTGCATCGCTACTAGTAACAAGTGCCTTACTAGTAGTAACAAGGACGCTACTAGGAACAAGAAGCTATTAGTAACAAGGGTGATGGAAGGGTGATCGATGGACGCTGAAATCGCTTCTCAGAGGACATCAGTGGGTGGAAGGTGTGTGCGTGTGCGTTGTGTGTGGAAGGGTTTGATATGGTTTGATGGTTGATCAATATTGTGTTTTGCTGACCTGGAAAGGTGGTGGCAGGAGGATGATTGATGAGTTGCAGCGGGATGCAGCCACAATATTGGACGCTTTCAATATGCTTCTGTGTGTGGATCATATGTTTGGCCTGTAGCTACATTCGCCGTCACAATGCAGCAGTGGACTCTCACGACAATACTCTGGTCTTGATGAAGGCCTTTGAGTGTGCCACAACATATGTATAGTGATCTGGTTATTAGGTCTATGCCTTGTGAAGGTCTTTCCCTCCCATAGCCTCCATGGCCTATCCATGAAGCGCCAAACCGGCCTTGTAGAGCAACGGCTCCGCGGCGCCTCGCATCACATAGCGCTCCGCACTTGGCTCATTGGCACCGTGCTCGGTGACCGGCAGCGCGAAGGGCTGCGCCTGAGGTACGACAGGAAGGAATACCATTAAGCCAGGCTTCTTGTTACTACTAGTAAGGCACTTGTTACTAGTAGCGATGCACTTGTTCCTAGTAGCTTCTTGTTTGTAATTAAATTAAGTTAAATGCTAGGGAACCCACTTTGGTTTTGATTGAAACGTGAAGAAAGCCAGCCTTTCATTGTTCATTGCTTCTTTTGTTGATATACAGCAAGTGAAGTCACGTGAAGTGCGCCGAAAGCCTTTTCAAGAATGCATTCTTGCTTGCTTGCCGTCCATGTTCGAGCACGGGGGTAAGAAAACCAAGAGCTGAACAGCTGAACGTCCAAACAACCGCATTTCTCTCTCCAGACGTGGCGTTCCCCGCCTGCAAGGTCTGCAGCTGGCGCCGCAAGGCATCACGGAGCTGGTCCCAAACGAAGAGACCTTTATGCAAGATCTAGCGTTTGGCCAAAGCGTATGGTGACTCACCGTTGGGGCGAACAGCTGCAGGGAGATTCTGCAACAAAGAAGTGTGAACTCCTTTCTGAGTTTTAGAGTATCACGATCATAAACTCAGCTTTCGCCACCAATTGCAGAGAATTTTCAGATACTAGTTCCCCTCAGTCTGTCAACTGCAAAAAATACTAGAACAAGAACGCTACTAGGGGCTCCTGGCATCGCTACTAGGAACAAGGACGCTAC